CATGGGACTTCTCAGTAGCTGCCCTGTCCAAGTGTATATGGAAGCTAGTTTTACACTGAGTTCATCAGCCCTAAGATAAATTTTCAGTGATTCCCGTGGTGGGTCTTGGTGTCTGCATAATGAGCCACTGTTTAATCTTCCCTGTGAGGAAACTGAGGTTCAGAGGTACAAAGTCTTGTTCATGGCCAGCGTAGAAAGGGGTGAGAGCCTCATTCTGGAGACCCATTTCCTTCCTCCCAAACCTGAACAGAGACCTACCTTTGTTAGAAGTATAGTCTGGAAAGAAGGACCTTTTGTTTAGCAGGTTTTTAAACATAGTCTGCTAGGTTGTCCAGACAGCTCAATTGGTAGAGCAGGAGACTCTTAAACATAGCCTGTTAGCAAGTTGGAATGGTTAAACATGTAGGGAGACTCATAGAAAGCAGAGCTATGGTTACACAAAGGGGGTGGCCCTGAAAACCCAGGCAGAGTGCACTGGCCAGCCTGACACTTCAGCAGCCATCTTTGCAAGCCTTTCCCATCTCTTTCTCTCTAACCAGCCCTTTCCAGATTCAGTTACCTCCATAAAATTTTCTCTCCTCCCACTTCAGTATTACTCCAACATTGCTCAGCGTGCCCATTCCTGGCACGCCTCCTCATGGCAGCTCATTATGTGACACTGAGACTCACACAGAGGCAGAGGGTTGCTGAAACTTTCTCTCAGGGCAGAAGCACTGGGGAAACCAGCTGTCATGCACAAGTGAACAGGTCTGCTGTCCCATGATCTTTCTGTGGCCTAGCTGGTTTCTCCCCACAGAGCCACAGATTTGAGCATATTCTTCACAGAAACAGACTTGAGCCACATTTTGCTTATTGTTATCTCCCAGAATGTTTTATTCTGTTAGAAGCTACATGCATCCATGGAACACTGGTCCACTGGAAAAGATCAAAAGGCCCTATTCCAGTTCTCAAGCAGTCTCCACTTTGCTGTGTAACCTTGAGCAAGTCACTAAAAGTCGTGGTTTCTCATCTACCAAATGAGAGTCAGCAATAACTGTCAGCACTTTGCCTCACTGGTAGGAAGGTTAAATCACTGAAAGTGTGTGAGCAATGTACAGATGTATGAAAGCACACAGATGTCCAGTCAACCATGTGGTCTGAAAACGAGTTCCTCTTCCAAGACTTTTCCATGACTAGTCAGAGTCCAATAACACAGATCTCTTCAACATATGAATCTCTCCAGCTACCTTCCAGAAGGGTGAAATGTGAGGAGAGCATCTCTGCTATTTGGATTTGTGTACCTCGTTACTCCAAAGGGTAACAGTGGACTTTATAACAACACTTGCTAAACTTTGCTGGTGACCTCTGTTTTCTTCTATTCAGATTCTCATTCAACGTACTGAATGACTTGTAGGATGTCTTATGTATAATAGATACTCAGTACCTCAGTTGAGCTAAGGAAATGTATAATATAAAAATGAACCTATGTCATGTATGTAATGTGATGTAAAATGTAAGCTAAGAAAACAGTTCTTACTGAAATAAATTGCCAAAAGGTAATGCTAAGATTATAGTGGAATTTAAAAACTTAATTGGTTAGGGTAAGAGATGCCTTTGTATTCCAGAAAGGTTAAACTTTCCAAGAATGTGAGTATTCCTATTCCCAGTTCTTCAGAAGTACGGTCCACATCCTAATAAGGTTTGGGGGAAATTCCTCACTAACATTCAGTATGCTGGGTGAACTGTGGACATAGAATTTAGTCAAAGCATGTGGGTGGGAAGAATCTTTAATCTCAATATAATTACAGCAGCCACAGGTCAGCAAAGCAATATTTCTTAGTTTGTAGCAGATAAACCTTTTTCTGAGGAATTCTCAGCAACATCTAAATTAACCAGAACTTAATAGAGTGTAGACACCACTTCATATAATTAGTACCAAGCTCCTCCCCGCCTTTTTTCTCTCTGCTTAAGTCAAAGAGAGAATGGGCTTTTAACAGGAATTTATGTGAATGAATTTCTGGGGTTGTTCCAAAATCAAATGGTAGGTTGGTTTCCTATAGCTTCAATTTTATGTCTCTATTGCTGTATGTGACAATTGAACCTAAGAATGATGAACCCATTTCCAATAAAAAAGATTATGTTTGCTATAAGTGTCATAAACGTATACATATAAACAAGAGCATGCATTCCAGAACTTGACTTCCCATGGGGACTTTCTGAGGGGGTGTCTGAGTTAACAAAGTGCCTCTTCTTATATAGGTGTCAAAAATTGAGTGGTAAAACTACTGCATTTTTCTTTTCATTTTCAGATGTACTGCCCAGGAAAGGCATAGAGAAAGGGGACTTATTTCCTTTAAAATTGATGTTATTATGGAAACTCTATAATATTGCAATTACAGTTGTAGTTTTCAATCATGGGAAAATATATATTAGCAAGACTTTCATGATTGGCGTGGGGAAATAAATCCTGAATCACAACCATCAAGTTAAAAATAAAACTTCTTGCCCAGCCGGTGTGGATCAATGGTTGAGCATTGAACTATGGACCAGGAGGTTACATTTCGATTCCTGGTTGAGGCACGTACCAGGGTTGTGGGCTCGATCCCCAGTAAGGGGCATGCAGGAGGCAGTTGATCAATGTCTCGCTTTCATTGATGTTTCTATCTTTCTATCACTTCCCCTTCCTCTCTTTCTAAAAATCAATAGAAACATATTTAAAAAATAAAAATAATTTGTTTTCCATTTGGGGGCATTTTAGTTTGTTTATAAGTCAGAAAGAGTTCCTTTTATATGAAGGTAAATAAGTTGACTAATACAGTTTAGAAAGATTTTAAACAAGAAGAACTTACAGGACTCTAATCATTAAATTAAAATCCCTATTTCGGTAAGGTTTTTTGAATATCTAATACTATGTTAATTGATGACCTTAATAGTTACAACATTGGTTAGAAGCTTTGATATCTTCAACTCACATCATGTATTATACTTCATTTTTATGACAACTAGAGCCAGGTTGTTTAAAGGAAAGTGTAAGCTAAGGGACCTGATCTCACTCCTGTAAACCGCCTTGCTCACCAACATAAATGAGATGGCAGTTTGCCACAACTTTCCCATTTGGCCCACATAATTCTTCTATTTCCCAAATAACTTCCCCTTCAATGAAGCCTACTACTTTACTTGCATAGGATATAAATCCTTTGTCAGTTATCTATTTGTTAGTGTTTATGATTAAAGATATTAACCATGTTCACAAACAAATATTCTTTAAAATGTGTGATTAGTTTATGATTCCTGTTTATCCAAGGAATATAGCTTATATAAATCCTGAACAAATAATTGCCTTTCCAGGTGGCAATAAGAAACTTTTATCAATGTGATTCAGAATTATTGAGCCTAGAAATACCAAGATTCAATGTTACAAGATAATCATTCCTGTTATATTTATGATTCAATAATATTAACCCAAAACATTCTCTCTGATTCTAGCCTGCAGCAAGGGATGGGGAGAAAGGTATCAGCTACTGAGTTGGCTTGCCTGTAGGTGCCATGTTGCATAAATACACATGCCAGACTTGAATCTTTAGAGTTTCAATGTCCATTATGATTGCCTTATGCAAATGTGACACGTGAGCACTTGAAATATGGTTGGTCCAAATGGAGATGTGCTGTCAATGTGAAATCACACCCGACTTTGACATTTTTATATAAAAATAGAGAATGCAAAAGATGTCAATAAGTTTTACATTGAGTGCACATTGAAATGATAATATTTGAAGATAATTGGCTTAAGAAAAAGAGGTTAATTTCACCTGTTTATTTTTCCTTTTTTAATGTGGATTCTAGACAGCTTAAAATTACATGAGTGGCGCATGCTTCTGTGAGGCAGCAGGGAGCTTCTGCTGGGTGTTGCTAAGGAGCTGGGAGCAACTGAAGGGAGCAAAATGGAGTCCCACCTCAGCTTAAGGGCAGTTACTTGGAGACAGAGAAAGCATAGCTGTCCCTCTGTTTAGGTTTCCATCTCTCAAATTCTTTTGAGGCTAGTTAAATGGGACCTCACTGAATACAGATTTCTAAACTGAGTTTGTCCATCCCAGTACCCAAAGATAAAGTGTCAACTGCGATCTTCATTGATACAATGGCTAATGTTCTATAGCACTGGGTACAGTGCTTGTTCTAAATGCTTTTATGATCACCCATTTCATCCTCTCACCAGCAAGGTGAGGCAGGTACTATTTCTACCTCTGTTTGAACAGATGTGGACTTGATACTCTGAGACATTAAGTAATTTGCTCAAGGTCACACATCTAGAAGTTGACCTGTACAGTAGGATTCCCCGGATTTCGGCCCTTAGCCATGATGCAGTACTATCCTCGAAGACAAAATCTCTTCTTGATGCTTTTAACACATTAGTATGCATGCCTCTCCATCATATAACAATGGTGTCAGTGTTTTCTCCACAGCTTAGATGTTGTTCAGTAATGTAACAGCTAAGATTTAAAAATATTTACTGTGTCAGAAATTGGGGACCTAGTGTAAGGTCATGAATGATCCAACTTCTTGTTTTTCCCTAAAGTTGCCCCCAAAAGCATACCATAGTTCAGTCTATTTTAAAATGTAGGTAGCTTGATTCCAATGAAATAAATATGAAGTACCTACTATGTGCCAAACACATTGCCAAGTACTGGGGACACAGAGATAAAGATGATAAATTCACAAATGGTTCTGGTCTAGGGAACCTAAAAGCACCTTCCTGCAATACAGTGTTGAGGCTTGTGTGTTGTGGGAATGAAGGAGTAGCACATTACACAATTTGGGGTTCAGGGTGGAGCTGTAGTAGTCAAGAAATCTTCTAAGAGGAGGGAGTGCTTAAGCCATCTTAACATACCTCCCACTAGTTCCTGGGGTTTGATTTATGTTGCATGAAGACCATTGTTAATAATGACAGCTGAGGTCAGTGTACTAGTAAGTGTCTGAGTCTCTTGGGTGGTTGAGAGCACTGACTCCATTTGTTTGGTTTTCAGGTACCAGTAAGGTCAACCTCGTGAAGATCCCGTCCACAGCCTCCAGCCCGAGAGACACAGCCCTGGCTGCTGTTATCTGCAGTGCCTTGGCTACTGTCCTGCTGGCTCTGCTCATTCTCTGCATCATCTATTGTAAGAGACAATTTATGGAGAAGAAACCCAGCTGTAAGTTTTGAGCTCTTTCTATTTCTTAGCATTGGTGAAGTGCAATTATCATCATTGTCGTTTTCGTGTTCCACAAGAGACTTGAATAAGACAAGAATCAAGGAGCTGTTTAAGGGACAGAGAGCACATGAAAAGAGATCTCACAGTCTTTTGTCACAGTCTTTTTAGCCTTGAGGGAGCAGACTGATGGGTGGCAGAGATGTCCCTGTGCCACTAGGCAAAAATAAAAATTACTCTAAGTGCTGGCAACATAAATACTTTCCATTTCAAGCTTTCTTAACAAATTATTTCATACTAGATGCCCAGTGCACAAACTTTGGGGTCCCTAGTGGCTGCCAGCTGCTGGCCAGGTACTCCCTCCCTTCCCCTGGTCGCCTGCCACTGCCACCGCCGCTGCTGGCCAGGGCCTCCTGTCACCGCCGCTGCTGGCTGGGGCCTCCCTCCCTTCCCCCGGCTGGCCCCACCCCCCTGGTCGAACTCTCAGATGACCTCCTGGTTGAGGGGACAATTTGCATACTATACTTTTATTATATAGGATTTGTGCCTTCGTGTAAGAAGAAATAATTTAAAATGTGAATGATAGCCTTCTTTTAAAAAAAATACAAATGCTAGGATGGTACTTGTCTGTATTATGATGTCCTTTAAAGAGGAAATTGTCTTTACTGACAGAATTCTCACCCCCTCCTTTAGGGTCTCTGAGAGCACAGGACATTCAGTACAATGGTTCTGAACTGGCCTGTTTTGACAGACCTCAGCTCAATAACTCTGCTCCCAGAGCCTGCTGTCAGTGCCACCAGGACTTAGCCCAGACCTGTGGTAAGTTCAGACAGTTACGAATCCTTTAGGGAAACCAGAGGAATGACATTGAAGCTGCAAAGAACTGTTCTGTTCCTGTTTGTCCCACAGCTAGGTTGCTCCGCTTGGTTTCTACTTAAAGCTAATCTTGTTAAATAGTTATTCTCGCCCTAACCTGTTTGGCTCAGTGGATAGAGCATTGGCCTGTGGACTGAAGGGTCCCAGGTTCGATTCTTGTCAAGGGCATGTACTTTGGTTGCGGGCATATCCCCAGTGGGGAGTGTACAGGAGGCAACTGATCGATGTTTCTCTCTCATCGATGTTTCTAACTATCCTTCTCCTTTCCTCTCTGTAAAAAATCAATAAAATATATATTTTTTAAAATATTCTCCACCGTACTCAAATGTTTGGTGTGTGTTGTGCCACCTAAATATTAAGAAGAAAATAATGATCAAAATCCTGAAAGTTTTCAGCAAATTTGTCTTTGTTGTTTTGAGTCAGTTAATCTAAAACACTATCAACTTTTTGTAGAGGAGGACTTTGTGCCCCTTCCTTTCTAGTGGGTTCACACCTAAAGTTCATGTATCCACCTTAATGCCTTGGATTTCTTAAGGAAGAAGGAGGAGAAAGCTCTATGACAGGGTTTTCCACAAACCATAATTGCCTGTTAGGTTATTGACTGAAATGAAAGTTCAGGGAAATAATTCAAATGGGAATTGGTTTCTGATGTGGGCAAAATGGGCAAAGGTAGTACCAACTTTCTTTGCCACTTATTTATATTCATTAACACAAGGTTTCTACACTTACACTCCCCACTCCTATCCCCACTATAATGACCTTATCTCCTCTGCAAAGTAAAATTTGATGTGTCCAGCAACCCTTTCTAGAAACCTGCCCTAGCCTCCCTCCTCTCTCCTCACTTCCCAATTCTCTTAGCACCTTTGAAGCAATACTAACATCACCTTTTGTCTCATTCTTTAAGTGAAATGTATCCTGATGAGATGGACTTATTCTCTTGGCACTGTTTAATTTTTCTTTTCAAGAAATTGCAGGATTGAGCTTTTCGATCTAATATCTCATATGTGGCATAAGGAGTTTTCAACATAATTATTTTTCTACTGATCATAACTATATTCTATTTTAGGAATATATTTAAGAATGAAATGTAAGACTTTGTGGTGTGTGGGGATCTATTTTTGCCTCTGTCTACGCTGATAATAGACCCTTAGACAGCTACCAATAGCTACTGGATCCTCAAAATGCCCCAAGCATTGTTTCCTAGATACTGTACCATGACATTGACACAGAATCAGAGTGAGGGATAATTTCTTAAGATAGAAATTCAAATTTTAAATATAATAAAATACAGCATTGTACAAACTCTGCCTCACCTGAACTTCTGTCTGAAAAGAAAGATTAAATATATAGATAGCCTTGTTTCATGTCCTCTTAGAATGCTGAGCTTAATCCCCCCATGCTAATGCCTAGGTTCAGTACAGTTTTCCATTTAAATCACTTCCTCCTTAGTAACGTGCCTTTTTTCTTTTAACTTTTTATTTTAACATGTTTTTAGACTTACAAAAATGTTGAAAGACTAGGACAAAAAATTCCCCCATACCTTTCACTCAGATTCCCTAAATATTAACATTTATCTCATCTGACATTTACTTTATGATTTTTATCTCTCTCTCTCTCTCTTAAGTGGTGTGTGTATGTATATATATATATTCATACATGTTTTGTATATTTTTTTAAAATATATTTTATTGATTTTTGTATAGAGAGGAAGGGAGAGGGATAGAGAGTCAGAAACATCGATGAGAGAGAAACATCGATCAGCTGCCTCCTGCACACCCGCTACTGGGGATGTGCCCACAACCCAGGTACATGCCCTTGACCGGAATTGAACCTGGGACCTTCCAGTCCGCAGGCCGACGCTCTATCCACTGAGCCAAACCGGTCAGGGCTGTTTTGTATATTTTGCATATACACACACATTTTTGCATGTGTATATATACACATATATATACACATTTTTTTTCACTTGCCATTTAAAAATCATTTGCAGATATAATGTCCCTTTACCCTTTATTACTTTGGTGTTTATTTTCTAAGAACAAGAACATCCTCTTACATAAAGCATGCTTATTAAATCAGGAAAGTAACATTAAATCTATTGCTATTATATAATTTACAGAATATATTCAGATTTTCCTAATTGTCTCAATCATGTCCTGTGTAGCAAAAGAAAATCCCAGATAACACTTATTTATTTGTCCTATCTCTTTACTCTCATTTAATCTGGAATATTTCTTTAATCTTCCTTTGCGTTTTATGACAATATTTTTGACAAAGGCAGGCCAATAATTTTGTAGAATGACCCTCAGTTTGGGTTTTCTCATTTTTTTTTATGATCAGATTCAAAAATACCACAGAGGTGATGTTGTGTATTTCTCAGTGCCCCATATCAGGAGGTACATCTGTCTCATTTCGGTCAGATTAACTAGGGTCACTTTGTTAAGGTGGTGTCTGCAAGCTTTCTCTGCTACAAAATGATCATTGTTTTTGGTAATTAATGAAACTTCGTAGGAGATTTTTTGAGATTATGTAAACATCCTATTGCTTCCAAACTTTGGCCCAGTAGTTTAGCATTCTCTGATGATTCTTACCTGAGTCAGTCATTAGTATAATGGTTAACAATTGCTGGTTTTCTAATTGCATCATTCTTTCTACATTTATTAGTTGGCATCCTATGGTCAGAAAGAATTTCCCCTTCTTCCCATTTATTTACTTTAATTAGTGTGGACTAATGGACCCCATTCAATGGGTTACAATCCTTTGCAATCATTTATTTTGATGCTCAAATTTTCCTAGATTTGGCAAGTGGAAGTCCCTTCAGGCTCTTTCATGCTCATCTTATACTTTCCCTGATTGAGTCCTAGAACCAGCCATTTCTATAAGGAATGGGAGTGCCTTTTGCTTTTAAATAATTTTGAGAAATTCCACAGTGAGCATGACACATGTTTGTTGAGTTAATTGGTAGTGAATCCAAGTGAGTTCTTCATGGTCATAATAACACGTATTCAGACAGCACAAGGTGTGTCCTGTTTGAGAGAGATTCAGGTGAAAGTATGTTGGGTGTCTGTCTTGCTTAACACTGGTTTGCAATTGTATCTCAATATATTTTCAAAAGGGAAATATTAGTTTCATATTATTCTCCTGTTTATAAAAGTAAAGAGATAATCCTCATGTTAAGTTTGAATATACATAAACATATATGTACATGTAAATATATAATTACTTCAAGTCTTTTTCTCTATATTTATGTGTATCTTTGTATTTGCCTGTATGCTTTAGTATGTTTATGGTTTTATAAAATTAGAATTATATGTGTATATATAGAGAGAAAAGTCTAGCTGTTCACCAAATATTGACAGTGTTTATTTCTAGTTTATAGGGCTAAGGAAGATTTTTTTTTTAATTTATCTAATCTCTCTTTATATCTAAATTTTTTCTTCAATAAATTTAAGTGTACAGTTCAGTGGATTAAGTACATTCACATTATTGTGCAACCATCACCACCTATCCATTTCCAGAACTTTTCCATTTTTCCAAACTGAAACTCTGTATCCATTATACACTAACTTCCCATTCCCCCTCCCCCAGCCCCTGGCAACCACCATTCTACTTTGTCTCTATGAATTTGACTACTCTAGGTATATAATATAAATGGTTCATCATTTTTTTAAAAAGATAAAAACAGAGAAAAAAATTAAGACTCATATTCCCATTCCCCAAAAAGTTACCCAAAGGGGAATAGTTCAAGTTTCAAGAACGATGTTGAACTGGTATTAAAGAGAACATTCCCAGGAAAAGCATTATGCTTCATACCTCTGCTGTCTTTCCTAGGGCCTGTTCACTTGATCCCATCCTTGTGCTGTGATGACTCCTGCAGCATCGACCAGGTGACTCTTGGTTGCAGGGTGCATTCCCGGGCCACACTTCAGGAGAGGTAACTGGGTATTTTTTAAGCAATATAACTTCATAATCCTTGTGCAAATATGCATTACATTCATTTACCAATTTTCATGTGAAACATTTAAAAATGTTTCATGAGGGCATCACTTTTTAATATCATTAATGCCATTCTGGTCATTGGAGGGGGCATGTGTTTGGCACGAATTAGGTAAGTCTCTCAGGGTTACTAATATCCAATACAACATTTTTTATACTTTACCCTCAATTTTATTTTATCTTTTAAAATATATTTTTATTGATTTCAGAGAGGAAGGGAGAGGGAGAGATAGAAACATCAATGATAAGAGAGAATCATTGATCAGCTGCCTCCTGCACACCCCCTACTGGGGATCGAGCCCGCAACTCCTGGCATCGGAATCGAACCTGGGACCCTTCAGTCCACAGGCTGACGCTCTATCCACTGAGCCAAACCAGCTAGGGCCCCTCAATTTTATTTTTGTCTTATACTCATTATTTGTGACACTTCTGCCATCTGCAAGTAATTTTTAACATGTCATGTACTCATAGAATTTTAGAACAGCCTTCAAATTCAGTTAAGACCCAGGAAACTGCATGTTTTAGACATTGTATTAAGTATAACTACATTGATTAAAACGAAGTATATTAAATTTTAAAGTAATTGGAGGAATTAAGCTTATTGTATTAAAGCAAGTTTATAACAACTGGAATTCTGACAATAAATTGCTATTTCATCTAGAAAACTTGAAAGTATTGTTGGAATGTTGCTTTGTAGTCGTGGTTTTTCTCCCTATAGAACACTTAAAAGTCTTTTGAACATGTGTTCAGAAATGCAGGTCCGGTGGGAGAGACCATGCCATCTTTCTTCGGGTCCCTTTCTCAGTTCATCTGTGGCGAGTTTTCGGATGCCTGGCCTCTGATGCAAAATCCCATTTATGGTGATGATATCTCCTTTTGTGACTCTTATCCTGAACTCACTGGAGAAGATATTTATTCTCAAAATCCAGAAAATGAATCCTTGGATTCAAACAGTAGTCAGGATTTGGTTGGTGGCGCTGTTCCAATTCAAGCTTCTTCTGAAAACGTTACACAAACTACTGATTTGTTTAGATACAATTCACTGATAGAACCAGTGCGAACTCAGGATGCCCTAATTACTAGAAGCCAGCTAGGTCAAACAAGTGGGGATATCATTAACCGAACCACTCAAACTCAGACGTCCCTCCAGGTAAGGCAATGACTGATTTTACTGTGGACAAAGCATTGACTTTTGGAAGACCATAGGGAATGAATTCTGTTCCTACCACAATATGTGGGGGAACCTGATGAGAAGATTTGCCATCTTTCATAACTTCTGTGTGTTAAAGAAGAATATATACTTTTTAATTTTTTTCAAATTTATCTTTATTGTTGAAAGTATTACAGATGTTCCCTTTCTCCACCCCCCATTGACCCCCTATACCTTGTTCCAGCCTCTCCCCAGATCTTCCCCACACTATTGTTTGTCCATGGGCTATGCATATACGCATAACAATTCTTTGGTTAATCTCTTCCAGCCCTCCCCCCTTCCCTCTCAAATACCTCATTCTGTGGCATACTTCAATGTCTCTGGATGTTTTTCATTAATCAGTTTATTGTGTTCATTCGATTCCACATATGAGTGAGATCATGTGATACTTGTCTTTTTCTGACTGGCTTATTTCATTTAGCATAATACTCTTCAGGTACCTTCATGCTATCTCAAATAGTAAGAGATCCTCCTTTTTTACAGCTGTATAGTATTCCATTTGTGTAAATGTATGACCGTTTTTTTAGCACTGCTATGAACATAGGGATGCATATATTCTTTCTGATTGGTGCTTCTGGCTTCTTAGGATATATTCCTAGAAGTGGGATCACTGGGTCAAATGGCAGTTCCATTCTTTTAATTTTTTAAGGAAACTCCACACTGTTTTCCATAGTGGCTGTACCAGTCTGCATTCCCACCAGTGGTGTACTAAGGTTCCTTTTTTCTACATCATTGCCAACACTTCTTGTTTGTTGATTTATTGATTGTAGCCATTCTGGCAGCTGTGAGGTGGTACCTCATTGTGGTTTTAATTTGCATCTCCCTAATAATTAATGATGTTGAGCATTTTTTCATATGTCTCTTGGCCATCTGTATGTTCACTTTGGAGAAGTGTCTGTTTAGGTCCTCTGCCCATTTTTTAATTGATTTGTCTTCTTTTTGGTGAGTTGTATGAGTACTTTATATATTTTGGAAATTAACCCTTTATTAGATGTATCATTAGCAAATATGTTCTCCGGTACAGTGGGTTTCCTTTTCATTTTGATACTGATTTCTTTTGCTGGGCAGAAGCTTTTTAGTTTGATGTAGTCCCATTTGTTTATTTTTTTTCTTTGTTTCTCTTGCCCTAGGCATTGTATCTGTGAAAATTCTGCTACATAAGATGTCTGATATTTTGCTGCGTCTATTTTCTTGTAGGATTTTTATGATTTCAAGACTTACATTTAAGTCTTTTGTCCATTTTGAGTTTATTTTTGTGTTTGGTGCAAGTTGGTGGTCTAATTTCATTTTTTTGCAAGTATCTGTCCCATTTTCCCAACACCATTTATTGAAGAGACTGTCTTTACTCCATTGTATGCTCTTGCCTTCACTGTCAAATATTATTGAGCATAATGGCTTGGGTTGATTTCCAGGTTCTCTGTTCTGTTCCATTGGTCTATATGTCTGTTCTTGTGCAGTACCAAGCTGTTTTGATTACAGTGGTTTTGTAGTATAGCTTGATAACTGGTATTGTGATCCCTCCAACTTTGTTCTTTTTTTTTAAGATTGCTGCAGTTATTTGGGGTCTTTTTTGGTTTCATATGAAATTTTGGAATATTTGTTCTAGATCTGTGAAATATGCCATTGGTATTTTAATAAGGATTTCATTGAATCTGTAGATTGCTTTGGTTAGTATGGCCATTTTAATGATGTTAATTCTACCAATTCATGAACACAGTATATTCTTCCACTTGTTTATATCTTCTACTATCTCTTTTTTCAACATCCTATAGTTTTCTAAGTACAGGTCTTTTACCTCCTTGGTTAAATTTATTCCTAAGTATCTTAATTTTTTGTTGCAATGGTAAATGAGATTGTGGGGTTTTTTTAGTTTCTCTTTCGGATAGATCATTATTGGTGTATAGAAGAATATATTGTATTTTAAATTAAATTCTAAGAGTTTTCTTTTAAACTCACAGCTAATGTATAAGGCCATAAAGGGCAGCTACATTTTTTTATTCGTCTTTGTAAATCCAACTACAGTTGACTCTTTTTAAAAAAATATATTTTATTGATTTTTTACAGAGAGGAAGGGAGAGGGATAGAGAGTTAGAAACATCGGTGAGAGAGAAACATCGATCAGGTGCCTCCTGCACACCCCCCACTGGGGATGTGCCCGCAACCAAGGTACATGCCCTTGACTGGAATCAAACCCCGGGCCCCTTAGTCTGCAGACCAACGCTCTATCCACTGAGCCAAACCAGTTAGGGCTACAGTTGACTCTTGGACAATGTGGGAGTTAGGGCCACAACTCCCTGCACAGTAGAAAATCCAAGTGTAACCTTAGACTCTCCAAAATATTAACTACTAATATAGCTTATCACAGGGATGGCTAACAGTAGGTTTACAGTTGTTTGTATAGAAAATAACACAATAATTAATAAGTAATAATACAAGAATAAACTGTTTCCCATACTAACAACTGTAAATCTACTTTTGCCTACCCCTGTATTGACTGGAAGTCTTATCGATAATATAAAACATAGGTTAATATATATTTTGTATAATAGGGTTTATGTAGGTGAGAGAAAAGAAAATGTTATTAAGAAAATCCTAAGGAAGAGAAAATATACTTACAGTACTATACATACGTATTGAAAAAAATTCACATATACGTGAGCCTGCACAATTCAAACCCGTGTTGTTTAAGAGTCAATGCTACTTAGCACAGTGCCTCCTGGCTCCATTCCTGGTTGAGAGAGAAGAGTTAGTTATAGGAGAATCTTGCAAACAGTTTCTCACCTTTGTTCTTCCCTGTAATATTCTTATGCCCAATACTTAAAGGCACTTCATTCAATGTGAAGTTCATGAGAATTTAGGTTTCCTAAAGCTATACTTTTCCTTCCTCTCTGCTCTGACTGCCTGACCGGTTTGGTTGGAAATTGTCGGTTGTGATCTGAGACTAAATGCCGCATAAACCCTAGGTAAAAGGGTTTAAAATAAGGTTTGGGGAGATGGCGACTGCGGGCATACGGGTCTCTCTGGCATGCTGCAAGACCGGAGGCAGAGAAGCACTCAGGGACACCTGGGCACTGACCCTGCTTTTTCCTCCAGGCAAGGATGTGGCCCTTGCTGAGTTTGACTTAATGTTTAATATTTCCTTAATGTAAGCACATATATTGTTGGTATACATTCTTCCGGAAGAATGACGCCAGCCTTGAGTATGAAAGGGCAGAGTCGCAGAACAGTGAGGCTCCCAGGCCCCACAATACCAGCGTTGCTCTCCCTCTGTGCCCCTCCTGGCCCAGTCAGGGGCCTGGGTACTGAGGCAGCACTATGGGACATGCTGCATGTGCTCCTGAGTGAACCCTTGTCTACGCAGATCAGGAACATGCTAATGTCAAAGTGTAGATGGAGATGTATTCCTTTTAGGTTGTATATTAATCTAAATCTGCAGTACTTTATTTTTTAACTTCAAGCTCATTCTGTAGGCATTTATAGGGAATTTTATACAAAAACATTTGTTGTCTCCGGAGCAAAAATAAATTGTTTCTCAAAAAAAGAAAATGAAGAAAAGATAAGTAAGAGAAAGAAAACAAACAAATTAGACAGTTTAAAAATGATGATGGAATAAAATAAATTTTTAAAAAATGCATACCTCTGTAGTTGGGAAAGACTTTTACTGACCTTGTTCTCTTGAGCCATCCCTAATTTTAATAACTTTCATGATAATAAGAAAAGACTTAAGAGTTAGCTTAGCCCTAGCCAATTTGGCTCAGTGGATAGAGCGTCGGCCTGCGGACGAAAGGGTCCTAGGTTTGATTCTGGTCAAAGGCATGTACCTCGGTTACAGGCTCCTCCCCAGCGTGGGCCCTGTTCAGGGCTCATGCAGGAGCAACCAATCAATGTGTTTCTCTCACATTGATGTTTCTCTCTGTCTTTTCCTCTCTTTCCCTCTCTCCCTAAAAATCAATGGAAAAATATCCTTGGGTGAGGATTAACAATAACAACAACAAAAAAAGAGTTAGCTTAGCTGAGGGTAGGTCTCAAGGATGGCTGTGGCCCACAAACCTTTGGGGTTGAGGACTCCCAGCAGTCCAGAGCAGGTAACTGGCCTTACAATAGGTTAGAGATGCATGGAGAGGCCTCCACCCGCTTCATAACTAATCTCAGTATCCCAATGGGATGCCTTGCCAGGTACTCCAAAATAAAAGTCATAGAACTCTTAGAGTTTAATGCATTCCATTTTCAGTACAAGATGTTGAAGTTTCTTTTATATCAATTCAATTGGCATCGATATCAAACTTGTTTGTGTTACCATCACAAATATCTATTACATCTCCCCATACATCGTTAGGGAAAAGTCTGAGTAACTAAAATGACTGTGCTACCAGCTCACTACTGGTATTTCAGAGTATTGTCAGTAAATGGAATTACCACTCATCTTAATTTTGTAGCTTGTCCCCAATTCTGTGATGTAAATACTAAGGAATGAAACATTTTGATACCTAGTTATATAAAAGCCAACTCATTCTCTACCTTTTTCTGTTTATGTTGTTGGTGAGGAGGACATAGGTTTGATAGGCACTATTATCACAGTTACATTAACGTAAAATTTTAGAAATGTAGTTTAGTATATAAGTGACATTAATTCCTTTTCAAAGAGTGTTATCAAGGTGATTATGACATTAATCATTGACATTAATTCCTTTTGACATTAATGACATTAATTCCTTTTCAAAGAGTGTTATCAAGGTGATTATGATCTGCATAAAGTTATTTTCAACACAAATTATTATGTAAAGTTATACATGAAATGGATGAGGAAGCGTTACATTCAAGTTACACAATGTAATTTATTAATGAAAGGTTCTTATCTACACTAATAAAAGAGAAACATGGTAATTAGCGTACGACCGCTACCCTTCCCATTGGCTAATCAGCATATCCTTATGCAAATTAACACTTGGGTTGCGGGAAACGAGTTAAGTCGGCTCGCGTGAATTGCGCGTACTCCGCGGGAGCCGTCTTAAAACTCGGTTCATATAGATTTGCGGTGGAGTGCGGGAAACGTGTAAACTCGGGCCGATTGTAACTGCGTATTACCAAATATTTCATTTCAATCGAACCCATACTTCAAAAGATATAGGCATTTTAACGCGCCATCTTATATTTTGGCGGGAAATTCACCCGCAACCCAAGTGGTAAACTGTCAGCCAAGATGGCGGCCAGCAGCCATGCACTGAAGCGAACAGGGAGGCTTGCTTGCTCCAGTGATGGCGAACTCCAACGTTCCCCGCCTGACTTGCCGGCCTCTAAGCTGCAACTCTAAGCAACTATGTTGCAAATATAGAAGCTAAACAAAACCCTAGAAACCGGCTTTCAGTCAGCCGGGCTTCAGCCAGCTGGACCGCAACATTGTATCAAATACAGAAGGTAAAGGCCAGAAACCTGCTTTCAGCAGCTAGGCCTCAGAGCTAAAGCTGGCCCAGAATAGAAAAAAAGAAAAAGAAAAAAAGGAGCAGTTGGAGCTTCAGTCACCCGCCAGCCGGAAAACGGCCCTCAGCCCCTCACACAGACTGGCAGGCACCCCAGTGGGACCTCCACCCTGATCCAGGACACCCTTCAGGCTATTCTATATTAGTAAAAGGGTAAATACCTCCCGGCACCGGGATCAGCGGAGCAGCAAGGCTCCAGGCACCGGGATCAGCATGACAGGGGGCAGAGCCCAAAACCCCTGGTCCCCCTGCGGCTCTGTGTGTGACAGGGGGTGGGGCCACAACCTCCCTATCTGCCCTGCTCTGTTCGTGACAGGGGAAGGCGCCCCAACCCCCTGATCAGCCCTGCTCTGTGCCTGATAGGGGGGAGCTCCCCAACCCCCTGATCGGCCCTGCTCTGTGGGTGATAGAGGGTGGCACCCCAACCCCCCTCCACGGGCCTTGCTCTGTGTGTGACAGGGTAGAGCCATAACCTCCCCATTGGCCCTGCCCTGAGTGTGACAGGGTGCAGCGCCCCAACCCCCTGATCCACCCTGCTCTGTGTGTGACAGGGGGCGGTGCCCCAACTCCCCTATCGGCCCTACTCTGTGAGTGACAGGGGGAGCTCCTCAACCACCTGATCGGCCCTGCTCTGTGCATGACAGGGGGGAGCTCCTCAACCCCCTGATGGGCCCTGCTCTGTGCATGACACGGGGAAGCTCCCCAACCCCCCTGATGGGCCCTGCTCTGTGAGTGACAGAGGGCAGAGCCCCAACCCCCTGATTGGCCCTGCTCTGTGAGTGACAGGGGGCAGCGCCCCAACCCCCTGATCGGCCCTGCTCTGTGAGTGACAGGGGGTGGCGCCGCAACCTCCCCAATCGGCCCTGCTCTGAGCCTGACCAGGGGCTGCACCTAGGGATTGGGCGTGCCCTCTGCCACCCAGGAGCAGGCCTAAGCCAGCAGGTCGTTATCTCCCGAGGGGTCCCAGACTGCGAGAGGGCACAGGCCGGGCTGAGGGACCCCCCCTCCCTTCCCGAGTGCACAAATTTTTGTGCACCGGGCCTCTAGTTAGCTTTATAAGATGTGTTATAATTATTACATAATTTTGGTAAATCTAAATTAGACATTCTGAATTCAAAAAATGAATCATTTCCATTTTTACCCTAAAATTAAAAACAGCAAATAATGTATTTTTTTAAATATATTTTTATTGATTTTTAGAGAGAAAGGGAGAGAGACATAGAAACATCAGTGATGAGAATCATTGATTGGCTGCCTCTTGCACGCCCCTTACTGGGGATCGAGTTCACAACCAGGGCATGTGACCTTGACCAGAATCAAACCTGGGACTCTTCAGTCTGCAGGCCGGTGCTCTATCCACTGAGCCAAACCAGCTAGGGCAAAGAACAGCAAATAATCTTTTGAGCCCATTCTAAAAGATAACATTTTCCAGATTCTGAAAAGTACTTCTTCATGGGATGCATTTACTTAATGTGGGAAACTTGGTGAATGAAGCTTAATCTTCAAAAGAAAATAGGAGATAGGGGTAACTGTATCTCTTTGGGAAATTGATCCTCTTTATTTCAAGGGTCAGCCACATTTTTAACTGGAATCCAATCCATTAGATTCCAAAAAGCAATTCAGACTTCCCTCAATAGGTTAATTCTCCAACGTAGAGAATATACTTATTTAAAAATTTGATTTCAGCAGCTTACTATTGTGAAGCAAGTATAAGACTTTTAGTTCCTCAAGGTCATGTTTAGTCAGCTTGGCTCCTTGGCATGGGCTCATTCATAATTCAGGAAAGCACTGGATTTCCATTTAGGTGATGTGTAAGAGCAGCAATAGCCATAACAGACCTTTTTTTTTTTTTTAACGGGATTAATTTATTTTATTTTAAATAAAACTTTAAATTCCTCCCTAGGCATTCACTTTATTTTCAGTTTGTTAACATCTATTCACTCTTTTTCCAAGATTTATTGAGATACAGTTGACATATAACATTGTATAAGTTAAAGATGTACAATATGATTTGCTACACGTGTATATTGTGAAATGCATAACAGCATGTTTGTCTTTATATGGTGTTAAGTTCAGATTTCTTTTTTTTTAATATATTTTATTGATTTTTTACAGAGAGGAAGGGAGAGGGATAGAGAGTTAGAAACATCGATGAGAGAGAAACATCGACCAGCTGCCTCCTGCACATCTCCCATTGGGGATGTGCCCGCAACCCAGGTACATGCCCCTGACCGGAATCGAACCTGGGACCCTTGAGTCCGCAGGCCGACGCTCTATCCACTGAGCCAAACGGGTTTCGGCAAGTTCAGATTTCTAATGCATGCAGCATTTGTTTCCAAGCACAAATGCTTTCTTGTGGGTGGTTTAAGACCACCCAGAATCTGATGATGAGAGTTATGGTTCAGAATAAAGCCAATAGGTGTCAGAGCCTTTCTAGGTCTGTATGATTTAATTTTTCTCCCTCCCCAGAAGGGAACAGACCTAAGATATTTGGGACATCATTTGCTATGATGTTTGGGAGAAGGAGGCTTTTTATGGTGATGTTTTTTTAACCAACATTTTAAGTGTCAGCATAAAACAATGGGAGGAATGGTAAGAAAGATATTAAATGACTTGGATTCTAGTTTTTTAATCTGTTAAAATCTCTATGTCCTTATTGACAAAATGAGTATAATGTGCCTCCCACAATAATGTTAATGTGCTTATTATTATATCTATTGATTGACATATTTAACTAAACTATCTCTGATGATCGAGAGTATTTAAGAAGTTTCTATTTTCAGATAATCTCCTTAGGCCTAGAGGGGGATTTTTTTAAAAAAATGTATCCAATATGTCACTAATGCCAAATTAGTGGTATACAAGTTAATGAAGAGTCAGTGCATAGAATGAAGATTTCACACTTACAGTACTGACAGTTGGCCAGTGCCTCGTCCCCTCATGAGGTGAGGTCACTGCCCTCTGTGATAAGGACAAATGTAAGGGCTCCACTTTCCAGAGGACATCAGCCCTACGAAGAGTGTGAATATTCCAAGGAGAGCATTATAAAGGGAATCTCATTCCCAAACTATTTCTAAACTTTCTCCATTAGTTTAGTGTAAGTTTTAAATTCAAAGATGAAGAATGGCACTGTTCATTAATCATCTTTGTTCTTTTAAATAAGGGTCAAAAGGCTCCTAAGATCTTTACCTACTTTAAAGGAGTACAACACAGAAACGGGTTTTCTATGTTTAAATGAGGTTAAAATTGTTTGTTAATACACTTTGTTTGCTATGGGTTACATCAAGCATGTCAAACTCAAAAACTAACAGGGGCCAAATAAACAAGGTTTAAGTTTATGTGGGCCGCAAAAAAACAAGTTTCAATTTTCATAGAAACGTAGGTTTATTTCGATAGAGACATGCTGAATACAAAGGACTAAAATAAATGAGTAATCATTAACATAAAATAATAAAACATTTTAATAAAAATTAGTATTTTTTCTTGAACATTAACTTACCAGACACTGAATAACTGCACAAATTAATAAGCATAATGCAAATAAAACTATTTTTCTTGTTCTCTGAAAGCAAAATATTTCCTGTTGTGCACACCAAACAGTATAAGACTAATGACATGGCAACCGGCTGCTAAAATATTTGCTGCTAGTATTAGTGGAGAGAAATGGTGTGCCTGCACATAAGGTGTGTAAGGAAAATGAATGCAACACGATTATAGTAATCAGTCATTAGTGAACATTGTAGTTTGTTATTAATAGTTATGTGTAACAGGATATTGTAAAAATTAAGTTATAAAATTTTTATTAAAACGTTTCTTACATACCGTTATATTGACTGGGCTGCAAAAATATTCGTTGTGGGCTGCATGCGGCTCGCGGGCGGCGAGTTTGACATGCTTGGGTTACATTATCATTTTTTTAAGTACTGTTTGCAAATATTGAGTGACTGTGAGTTGTTATAGAATCTTTATTTTATTCTCAAAGTAATGGGTACTTGGATATATGAACACCATTACATGAGCTTCTTGTCTGTATGTGATTAAATTCATGTGTATTACTAGTAAACGTTTTATATATAGATTTTTTTACAATTACAGTTTCCCAGCTTTAATTTGTAAGGTATGGTTTTTTAAAGCTCTTCTTCTGTTGCTGTTTTAGGAAGCTTTTTAGGACTCCATTCTTTCTGGATTAGAAGTGCACGTATGGAACCCAAGGGGCACGCACTCCTCCACTTACACTTATGAACTGAGCAGTCTGGACCTTGCATGGCTTCTGGGGGGAAATATAAATCTGAATCAAACTGATGGCTTTTTAAGCCTTTCAACCAGTTGCTTCTGAGCCAGACCAGCTGTAAGCTGAAACCTCAAGGAAGAACAGGACAAGACTGCAGGCATTCATGATGCTTTGCATCTTTCCTAAACAAGAAGTTTCTGTGCTACAAGTGTGACTTCAAAGACTGATGCACTGAGTTGGCAGCCAGGGAGGTTACGGACCAATAACAAGAACCAGAAATGCAGTCGTGTGTATTTTCAAGGTGAATGTGGTTTCACAAGACTAAAGACCCAAAGTATAAGTTTTCATCTATATTTTCTTGTAAAATAATTTCACATAGTCAATTATCCTACTAAAAGTCAATGTTATATTAGTTACCTTAGTTTTTATGTAGAATGGGTTCAAAAATGAGTGTTTCTATTTGAGGAAGGTCACTTTTTTGTCATCTAAACTAATTGACCTGGGAAGGCTAGAATTGGCTTCATTCTGCCTGCCTAAATCTTGGGTTTATTAGTTGAAGTCAATTGACCTAACTAGAAATTAGAGGAAAACAAGTCTTTTTAAGAATCAACACTTCTAACCTCAGCCAGCAGCTCACAAACACCTACCTGCTGGAGCTACTCATGAGAGGACTGCGTCAGGGAACAAGGTGGGGAAAGGCCGCCATCACCCTGAGTCCAAAACCACTGAACACACACATTCTAGAGACTTGCATATTTCTGTGGAAATCAGTTGGTATGGCAGCATCTGTTACTCTGTCCCTGTGACAGAAGATGCAGAATTTCTCTTTTATAGAAAAGTATTTATTAAGATAGTCTTTTTTTTTCTTTCTCTCACCCCTCACCCACCAACCTGTTCTCTGTATCTATGAACTTGGTTTGTTTGTTTTTTTGTTTTGTTTTGCCTATCATACTAAGGAATTTAGAAATGACAACATATCTGGTCCCTTTACTACTGAAACATGTCACCAAGTGAACAATCTTATGAGATACACTACATAATATAACCAGGAGAAAAAGCAGTTTGTCAGCAGCCTTTGAGTAAACAGCCTGTCACTGCTGCAATGTAGTTTGACCAGGACATTACAGTGTTCCCTCTGATCTCATCAGCTTAGTTAGGACAATAATGTCCCATCTTAGCCAGACGATGCTGATTTAAGTGTGGAGCTTCTGTTCAGATGCTTACCCCATCCCGTCTCACATTGGTATTTACACACTAGAAATATCACTATAGCCAAGACAGAAATAAATGCAGATCAGGCATGAACTGGGGATGGCTCATTTCTCTTCATCTTTTATGGCCCAGAGAGGAGTTAATTGAACAGGATTTATTGTTTCTTTCTTAAACCTACATGATCAGATCTGGCCTTTTAACTGATTCCATTAGCTTTGTCCCATTTGCACTTTTTAAAAAAGAAAGACCTTTCAACATCAGTGTGTTAGAATGTGCTAAAATATTTTGTTTCAGAATTACCCCATCCAAATCAGTGTCTTTTACCTAAACTGAACATTTAAACTGAACATTAAAAATCTGGACATTATTATCTTCTCACATCACCCCATACGTTTCTCTCTTTGTAAGACATTAGTAAAACCTAATGATTCCTTTTCTGTGGCTGGAACAGTTTCTCTATCCATAGTTTCAGGCTCTGATATGTGCATGTTAGCTTGCCTGGGTTTGTCCTTCTCATGACCTCAGTTCATTTAACTGAAATACGAAATTAGAGTGTCTCATGGCAACTCACAATTTTGTGTGAGCACCCAGTCATAATCGATTGATTTCTATTTTCTTCTTGTTTGTGTGTTGTGTTTTTTGTTTTGTTTTTTACCATAAACCAATAGTTCTTAAACTTTGGTACTCACCAACTCTTATGAGAATTGTCTTTAGGAAACCCAGGTGAAATATTTAGGACTTGACCACAAGATGTCTATGAAAATGCTTTTTAAATTCATATACGTGTTCCATTGTTTGCAATCTGATCATTTTTGTTATGAAAGAGGGATGATCAAAGTAAGCCAAGGTTGTGCTCATTTTTGTAACCTGAATATATTTTCCATATGAGCCCTCATTAACTTTAAAGACAAACACTTGCTGGAGAATGAGAGCTAGATTGATGAGAATGAGACTAGCCAAAAATCCTGAAACTTCACTTTTGATCAGTAGATAAATACTTAGAGTTGAAAGTCAATTTGACTTGATACTGCATTTGAAAAATCCTGGATTATTTTTATTAAGATGAAGACATTTTACCCCACTACTATAGACACATACAGTGTTATATTCTACATTCTTTGTAAACATTTGAGGAAAATCCATTTTGCATTTCACATTGTTGGAATACCCTATAGCACTCAAATAAACACAGCTGCTAGAGTGCTGAAGCTGGAAACTCATTAAGTAATAACATGGCTGGGAGTGCATAATTGTGACTTTTAATGCTGCAAGCAGTCATCGACAAGAATGAGACAAGGATTTGAAAGACAACCATATAAAGGCATGGGTTTTCTAATTTTATGTATATGGAATATATATTTCAAATATAAAATTTCTACTTTAGATAAAGTTAATGTTGCTGTTACCTAGGTTAAGCACTACTTACTGTCTATGCTAGTAAAAATATAAACCATAAAAAGGAAAAAATATATCATTGCCTTAAGGTAGTCAGCTTGACTCAATTTAGATTTCATTATTATTGTTTTGCATACTGGAATTTTCTTATATGAATAGTTTTGTAATACCTTTTTTATTTGTGAATAAAATTGTTATCTGGTATTCTTATTTGCATGTTTAGAAGAAAGTGATTGATGGTGTGAATGCACACCATCTTGCTGTCCCATGTGAGAGTCTCATTAAGTTCTGATCTTTCCAATATAACCCTTTTGGCCCCTCAAACTTTATGAGAGAGATTTGAAATCCTTACTAGTGACTGCCTATATTTCTCAGGCATATCAAGCTACTGAAAATGCTTTGAGTTATTCGAGAATCTTTGGTATCAAAGTTTTATTATGATCTCTTTCTTTCCCTTCATTTTATGACACAAAAAAGGAAGGACTTATGGAAGAAGTTTTATGTATTAATTTTTTATGGAGGGCAATAGGCTGTTCTCCTGCAGAGGTGTGGACTAACAAAAGATAAGAACACTGGTCACTGTAAGAGTTTCCTTTTTCTTCCTAGCTTCTTACCTTCCTTCCTCAATCCCTTTATTCATTCTTCCCTCCCTTCCCCTCAGTAACCTATCTAATCTAATAAAAGAGAAACATGGTAATTAGCGTACGACCGCTACCCTTCCCATTGGCTAATCAGAGTGATATGCAAATTAGCTGCCAGCCAAGATGGCGGTTAACCGCCAACAAAGATGGCGGTTAATTTGCATACGTAGCCACAATGCTGGGAGGCAGATTGGAAACCCAGGTGGCAGGCAAGAGGTGGGGGGCGGGCAAAGGCGGTGGTGATCCCTGATTGCATTGTGGATTGGGGGCGGAGAGAGCCCCGGCCAGGCCCCCAGGCCGGTGATGCCAGCTGGCTTGCTTCCCCATGAATCCATGGCATCAGAGGCAGAGAGCCCCGGCTGGCCTCCTTCCCAGTTTTTTCCCTTTCCATCGGGGGAGGGGAAATCTTTGCCCAAGCAGCGGCACCCCCGGACCCCTGGGATGGGGTTGCCGGCTGGCCTGTTGCCCCATGATCGCCATGGCGATTGGAGGAAGAGAGAGCCAGGGGCAGGCCAGGCAGCACCGCCAGAACCCTGGGGGCCAGGGGTGCCGGCTGGCCTGCGCCTGGTGATCGCATGGCAATCGAAGGGAGAGAGCGCTGCATTGCCATAGGAGAGCCTGGGCGCAGTCAAGGTGGCACCCCAGGCCTGTGTGCCGCCTTGCCTGCCTCCCATGATTGCGATCAGCACTGAGGCTGCTTCCCCTCCCTTGGACTGGCTCCCTTAGTAGTCCTGCAGGTTGAATCTGAAGAGGACAGGCCAGGCACCAAGGGACCAGCGCTGCCAGCACTTGAATGTAAGCAGACAGAAGGAAAAAAGACCTTGAAGGCCTGTCCAAGGCGGGTTTGCGTTTAAAACCAAGTGGGGTGGTCCGGATCTGCAGGCACTGACAACCATGGCACTGCGGCTGCTTCCCCGCCCTAGACACTCCACAGGGTCACTTGAGCCCGCCCTGCTCCAGATGAAGTGTGATCACTGCACACGGAAACAATATAGTAAAAAAATAATAACCGATGACCAAGGGCCCACCTCCACGAGCTCACGGGAGCCTCTGAGCAGTGGACACCCCGACTATTTTAGGGGCTTCAGGTGAGCTGGACTTGACCACATTTGACACAGAAGGGTCAGGAAACCTCCCTGGGGGACCGGCGGTACGTCTGATGGCGGATCCATCCTCCCTGCTGCCTGCCAACAGCTGCCTCCTCCGCGGAGAATGGGAGAACAAAGGGAGGGGGAGATTCTGCAAACCCCAGAGGGAATCCAGGGTCCCAGGTACTCTGCCCCACCCACTGACACTGGCTATGAGGGCACTGCAGCAGCCAACCAGCCTCATCCTCCTCCCCCCGCCCCTCCACCCCACAACACACACACACACCTACTGGTCGCAGACGCAGGGAGCGCCCTTTCTGAGGGGAGACGCCCACCAGGTATACAGAAGGTATACAGAAGGCGCTCAGCGAGAAGTCCCCACAGGTTGTGTTTGCACCTTCATGCTGTCTCCCCGCCCCCCGCCCCCCGCCCCCTACTGCAATGCTGAAGGAAGCCTGATTCAGAAACACCCGGCTGTTAACCACCCTCACGGAAAACAGCGTGTGATAAACATGTCCCCCCAGACGCCTGAATCTGCCTCAAAAGGAAGACCCTACAAACCCGGAGCAGAAAGATGGGGACTGAGACAGAAGGTCTGGGGAAAGCAGGGCTGCCCCACCTGCTCTCCGTCCCCCTCCCTGTGTGAAGCGCCTGCACCGCCGCCCTTGGACAGAGGCCTGCGAAGGAGTGAAGAACTGTGGCTATGCCTGTGGCTGCGCTTGGCCTGCCGTGGTGGATAAGCAGGAAACACATTTATGTTCCAGAATCTAAAACCATCTTTTTGGGTAACAGAGCAAATAATGCAAGACCCACACGTGTTTCTAAACAGGAGTCTGTCTGGCTGCGTGTGAACCCAGATCGAAGGCCTGCTCTCCACCGAGGAGGCTGCAAAGGCTGCTCCTCTCTCCAACAAGGCAACCTAGAGGTTTAAAGGGAAAAGGAGAGATAAATAAAACAAAATAGCAACAAGCTCTGAAGCCGCTGCTGTCAAATCCTCCGCGCGGTGGTGACGTCAGAGCCTGTCTCCCCGCGCTTGGGGCTCAGACAGCCAAGCTGCTGACACCTGCCAGGTCGCC